GGGCATAGCTAATTTCAGGCACATATTTGACCCTTCATAAGCCCCTTTTTTCTGATACCCTGTTCAGATTTCTTTTGTACTTGTGTGGAAATAATTGATTGCAACTATCTTGTTTTTGCTTTTAAATTGCAAGCCTGAGTACAGATTTTTTGTTTGTTTTGTGTACAATGCCTAGTTACTGTAGGCACTTGAGAAATAATAATTAAAAATTGCATGGCATTTATTACATAGGAGGGGTGGCATTCTGTAGTTCTGTCTTGGAAATGGCAGTGTGGGAAAGATCATAAAGAAACAAATGCATTCTTGGCAACTGTTTCTCCTTCTCTAGGAAGTCTATAGAATGTTTGAAAAGAAAAAAATAAGAAAAAAATAGAATTTTTTCTGAAGTTGGCTAAGAATGCAGGCTTTCTGTGCTTGCTACATGCATATATGTAGCCACCTTTACATTTAACTAGTTAGAGTTAAGGTCCTTTGCCCAAACAATTAATCTCGCCTTGCTTTTTTCTTCCAATTTATACTCGTAATTATATGTGCAGAAGGCCAAGTTGAGACTGAATGGTTGACCCAGTATTTTCTTAATTAACCTTGTGGATGAGTGAAATTGTATATTGAAAGAAAGCACTTTTTTGTAGCATATCACTCGTTTCTAGGCTTCCCTGAATGTGCCATTATAACATATGTAATGAGTAATTTATCTATAATGATAAGAAAGCACTCAGTCATCTATGATTTATAATCTCACTTTCTGTTCTTTTCCCTACAAAATCAAGGAAGTTCAATGCATTGGAAATCAGAGAAGCAGCATTTGTGATAAAACAAAAAGAAATCAGGTCAAGGATTAAAGGGTTAAATGACCATCATGAAAGAAGTACTTTTAGTTGGCTTGTTCATCATAGAGCAAGAATGAATTAGAATTAAATTGAAAAAAATAAGGGAAGAGAAGGGAAATGATTTTTTCCCCATAGAAAATAAAATGTCTAAATATATTTTATAGATACTCAAATTATGGGAGACAAATTAATAATAGTGAAAAAGTATGAAAGAAGAGAAATGTAGACATACATGTAATAAAATTAATCAAGGCAATAATTTTATTTATGTTTTCTTAATAAGGTTTATTTAAGTGCCTTTATAACACCAATGAGTTCATGGAGATTTAACCAGAATCAGAGATCTATATTTCCTACCCTGTCCAAGCTTGTAAGAAATATTTAACTTCAGTGCCCTTTTCATTAGACCCAAGATACTATCTATAAAGAAAAGTTTCCTATTTACTTAACCTGACATTTGCCATAGCTCCCCAGGCTATCTAATCCATTCTAAAATGTGCAGGTTACAAGAAAACTCTCTTTCTTTTAATTTTTCTCTGGATATAATTTTTGTTTTGCCTTTTTGACAACTGTAGTAAAATAAGGTAATTGTTATAATCTTTCAGACAGCTTAATTAGGATTGCAGTTTTTAATTATATTAATCAATTTGAAAAAATTTAATTAAACAAAAATTGTCCTTGATTCATTAGTGATTTTCATTAAGGAGAGTATTTTAAAAATTGCATTTAACAAAAATTGAAGACGATGTCAATACAATATTTTTAAAAATTAAGTTTCTTGATTTAAAATATTTTTATTCATAATTTAAAACTATATTTTAAATATAAACTAAATCTTGGCATTAATTATTTAATATATCCTAATTTGTTTGCACCACTGTTCACAAAAGTTTTCAATACCAATTTGTGGGAGTTTCAAACGCTCATAGACCTGCATATCTTTGTTATACTGTGTAGATCAGACATGTCAAACGAGCGACGTCATGTGACATCACGCAATGTGTCGGGCCGGTTTTGCCATTGCCGGCAATAGGGTGGGTGCGGCTTCCGGATGATGCATCTGGCCTGCGGGCCAGTAGTTTGACACCCCTGGTGTAGATCTATACGTAATTGGTCTAAGCCAGTGTATCAGCTCACTTTTGAATCATTCTTACTCTTTTTCACTATGAAGGCATAATGAAAACAGAAATGATAGTTGATAGTTATTCTATATGTTCTTTTGTCTCTGAACATACAAACTTTGTCATTATTTCCAATAGTCTGCAAGGAGTTTAATCCTGGCATGTCAGCTATATAAAGCCAATTCTTTTTTATTTATAGCATTAGTGGATTTTAAAGTGGAATTACAACAAATGAAGGTGAATATATGTGTCCCAGGATAATGTTGGTCCCGATGACTGATCAGATTGGATCCTAGAATTACAATTTTACAATATAGGAAAAGTAGTTGAATGTTTTGTGACTAGAAGAGAACGATTCTGAAAAGCCATGTTGTTTTTGCTTTTTTTCTTGTATGATTCCTCTGTTAAAGATGTATTTTCTCCTTTAGAATTTATTCTGACTTTTTAAAACGTCTGTGTTGTCCAAAAATTTGGAAAATACATAATTTTGGAAAGTGCTCACATTCTTGAGCATTCTTGAGATACTCTATTAGAGATGATCAACATTTGATTCATAGAGGGGTGTTTGATTATGAGTATATTTCTTTTCAAGTCCCAAAAATACTTTTTCAAAAGGCAATTGGGCTTTGTTTTTCTTTGAAGACATTTCACTTCTCATTTAAGAAGCTTCTTCAGTTCTGACTGAATGGTGAACTGAACTGAAGAAGCTTCTTGGATGAAAAGCAAAATGTCATCAAGGAACAACAAAGTCCAGTTGCCTTTTGAAAAAGCACCTCTGGGTAATCATGACTAAAACAAGAACCAGAACAGAACAGAATAGAATTGAATAACTTTATTGTCACTTTAAATGTACACTAATTGGCATACATTAAGACCTGGATGACTGAGAATCTCCACAGACATTTCTTTTCAAGAAAAAAGATTAAACTTTTTATTTTCTTGAAATGCCTGCAAGCCTATGTATGATACAGGGGAATTCTTGTCATTAACTATATTACAGATGGTAACTTTGTTTTCTGTTTGGTTATAATTAATAATATCTTTTAAAATAAGAAAGGTGGGCATGAAACCTGGCAAGTGCGAAGACTTATAGACACTGATTTGCCTATTTATGTTCTGCTCCATTCCTTCTGTCTCCAGTTTTCCTGATTTTGGCCTCAGATAACTACTTTTTCATGCCTCTCAACTCTTTTGAGCTTTCAATCTCAAGATGCTTTATATGAGCAAAAAGTATTTTGCAAATCATGAAACCAACAATGAAAGTGTAAAACAGTAAATTACAGCAATTATTTAAAGGGTCCCAAAGGTGCTTTTTCAAAAGATAACTGGAATTTCTTTGTTTTACTTGAAGACTTGTCACTTCTCATCCGAGAAGCTTTTCAGTTCTTCAGAAGCTTCTTAGATGAGAAGCAAAATGTCTTCAAGCAAAACAAAGTCCAGTTGCGATTTGAAAAAGCACCTTTGGGACAACCATGACTGAGAATCTCATTAGATATTTAAAAGGTCACTACAATCAATCTCTGCTTTATTGTTTATGTAAAGTGCATTTAGTTTTGAAGATTATTGGAACAACTGAGAGTTTGCAATTTTAATATTTTATTTAAATGTGACATGTTTTATTAAAAAATTATGTTCTCCTGTTTAATTGCAAGAACCAGTTAAAAAATACCTATATTATATTGATTAGAAAAGGAAGCATGCAAACCCAGTGTCCATAAAGGCACCAGCCACATTTCAAGCAAAGGTGGCATTCTCTAGTTTCCTGGAACACTAAACTGCCTGAGACTGCTATGTTGCTCTTGCAAGGAACAATTTTCTTGAGCCCTTGTGGGTGATCGCAAATCCTTGTCTTGTCTAGAGAGGAATTACAAAGAACGGTACTGCTTGCCAGCGCTTCATTCTACTAAGATTGTCAGCTCTGCTTTTAGCATTGCCATCTTCAATATACCCTTTCTTCCCTGAAGTCCAGAAAAATCTTAATTTAAGTTGCTTTGTAACCATTTGCAAGATTAAAATAAAGCCAATGTGAGAACTTCAGAAAGAAGGAGCAAAATATGCTCAGATGTTATTTTTTGAAAGATGTTTATATTTTCTTCATAAATTATTCAATTAGCATAGTTGATTGAAAAAAAAATGTGGCTCCAGATTATTTATTGTTACAGTGAGAAAAGTCTAGCTGTCTCCACTTACCATATTTAGCCTGTTACTTTGACTGCTTAGGTTGCCAATGTGCTGTAAGTCTAGTCTAAAAACAAGAATAAAAAGTCCAATGTTGTATGGTGGCTTTGCTTAGAATAATATAATGAAAAGAAGCCAATTAAAATAAACAGTTGGAAAAAACAGTATTGGACTTCAAAAGAAATATTATTAATTGTAGTATTGTTTATGATTCGTCATACAGTTAACCAGATAGTCACATTGGATTTGGCATTTTTATCTATGTATTGTGTCCTTTTCTCAAGGACCTGGGATAGACAGATGTTGATTTGATGGTTTTAGAGATATTGTTGTAGATATTAATATATTATTTATTAAATTTACGTTATTATTATATATGTAATAAAAATTACATCCCTGTGATTATATTGATATGATGAAGTTACCTAGTTGGGTAATTAAATGGCTGCAAGCAAACAGCCAAGCTCAGGGATCACCCAAAACATAGTATAAGCTGACATTAAAAAGTGGGAAAGAAATCTGGGATGTTTATCACCTTCTGTTTACAAAAGAGAAAGGATTAATAAATGTGTTCATCCTGGTTGCAAACACATGCATGTTATGGATTTTTAGTATGTGGTAAGACCCCTTGAATCCAGTGGCTTTTCTTCATCTCTAAACATAGATGTGGGCCTGGTTTCTGTATCTAACTCAAACATTGAAACAGTAGTCTAATATTGCATTTTTGTATTGATACAATATATATAATGCTGTATGATTTTTTTACATGTAACAAATCTAAATATAAGGATATGTCTTATATGGGAAATGTATACCTTTGAAAGAATCACAAAGCTGTATCTGATTTTACTTAATGGACTTATTTTTCTAGTGCTCTTGGTGGATCTTCTGCTCTTCACGTTCCTGCTTTTCCAGGTGGAGGCTGCCTAATTGATTATGTTCCCCAAGTATGCCAGCTGTTAACCAACAAGGTAATACCCAGAATAGACAAACTTTTTACCAAGATATTCCAATATAAGGGCTCTAGACTAGGGTAAAATAAATAATTATTCATAAATTGGTAAACCCTATGATCTAAAATTATTTCTGTCAAAGGTGAAATTGCCTAATGAAAGATCATTTTGGAGTGAGCCAGAAATAGTTGAAAAGACTATGCACAGCCTTCTGCATTTCAGCTATACAATTTGCGTCAGAGTTTTCATTAATCTGATTATGAAATAGTCTGGAAATACCCTTTATTCCTGTTTAAATTGCTCTTGCTTAAAGGAATCTTATAGATTATGAATTTATGAAATATACTTCCAAATGCATTTCTATAATTATACCAGAATCTATCTTTAGAGTTGTTTTTGTTGTGTCTCTCTATTGGTTGGTTTTTTATTTTGCAAGTACACAGATCTGTTTTTAAACTACAAACAATTGTTCACTATTTAGAGTTCTAATTAGTAGACAGACAGCTATGTAATGTTTGATAAATAAATAAGAATATTGTGCAGAAATTATGAACTGATAGAACATGATAGACATGTTCTAACTGCAACACTTAAACATTGGCCCAGGAAATTTCAGAGGTGTGAAATACATAAAATTGCACTTTAATATAAAATAAAATGCTTAGAAACCATAGGCTTCTTCAAAATACTTATGAAATACTGTATGAAATTCCAGATGGATAATATATTGCCATTATGTAAAGTAGCAGAATCTACTATAAGGTTTAATCAATGTGTTCATCCTTAAAATATAAAATATGTGTAATTATTATATATATTTTATACATCAATCTCTTGTTGCTGATGCATGTAAAAATATTTTCCAGACTTATACTTATTAGTAAAGCATAAACTCTCCCAAATTAATACTCTGTATTGTAATTTAGTTTTATTATAATTGCGCTCATTTTTTATTTTCTTTTATAGGTTCAATATGTTATCCAGGGTTACCATAAGAGAAGGGAATATATTGCAGCATTTCTTAGTCATTTTGGAACGTACGTAAATATATGTTTCACTTTAAAATGGAATATAACCATAAGCACTAGCTTCCTGTCTATTCTTAACTCATATTTACTAAAAATATTTTTGCCACTTGGAGTTTTCCTACATATGCATATTTAAGCTTGGTAGCCCTGAGTTATATTACTGTAGTACACAGTAATATAACCCAGTTATATTATATTTATATTTATTATACACTAATAGATAAATTATACCATATTATAGAAGGAAAGATTTTTAGCATTTTTTCTTTCCCACTCTAGGCTTCAGTATCATCTCTAAAGAGTTGGTGAGAAAAGAGCCAAAAGAAGAGGAAATTATTAACCCTTTATTAGTTGAAAGTAGAGGTAGTACATTTAGATTAATGCTAAATGTTAAGAAGACAAAGGAAGTCACAACAGTTAGTAAAATTATAGGTGAAAAAGGTGACAGGTAGTTTTGAAGTTTAGATTCAACAATAGATAAAGATGGACAGTATGTTTCAGAAGAAATTGGAAGATTGATCTTAGAGAAGAAAGCAATGACAAACTTAAAATCATGAAGGAAAAGACTATTTCTACAGGAACAAAGATCAGAATAGTTAAAACAATGATTTTTCCAGTGGTAATACACAGCTGGTTACTAAGAGAACCATGGATTGCTGGCAGAATTGGTCAGGCTCTTAGATGAAATAAAAACTGACAACTCCCTTGAGGCAATAATCAGCAAGCAGAAATTCACATACTTTGGACATATTAGGTGGGTGATGTATTAGAAAAGCTATGTTGAGTGAAATAGGAAAATAGGAAGATAACGAATAACATGGATAGACAGGATCAGCAAGATTGCAGACATTTGCCCATTTAGTTAATAGCACCTAACTACCCAACTAATTTTCTTTTTTTTTATTGAAAATTTTTAAAAGTTTTTACAAAAAACAGAAAAGACAACAAAAAATCAAAACAACCCTCACCCAACCCCTCCCAAACCACCCCCTCCATCCCCCCCGAGCTTCCCAGAGCTAAATATAGGCTTAATTAAAATTTTAAAAATCCTCAAAAAAAGTTAAACAAGTTATAAAATAATTAACAATAAGATATATATAACAAAAAAAACATAAGCATTAAAAAGAAAAAGTACTTAAAAAAGAAGAAAAAAGAAAGAAGAAAAGAGATAAGAAAAAAAAAGAAAAAAGAGAAAAAGTGCAATCTATAAAATATCAAAGTTTATATACAAGTTATAAAAAAGCTAAATGATATTTTTTTATATCCAATTTGTATTGTGTGAAATTTATCCATTTTTCCCATATGGCAAAAAATTTCTCTTGTGATTGCTCCTTTAAGAAAGCCGAAATCTTTGCCATTTCCGCCAGATAAAAAACTTTAAAAAACCACTCTTGCAAGGTAGGCAAAGATTCCTTCTTCCAATATTGCCCTACTAACAGCCTTGCGGCTGTAATCAAATTCAACATCAATATAACCTCCTTAGCATCACAATCAGTAACAATACCTAACAAAAACAATTGTGGAGTAAATTTTACCCTCTTTCTAAAAATTCTTTGAATATTCCACCATATCTTAATCCAAAAAGCTTTTATATTTTTACAAGACCACCAAATATGATAATAAGTGGCGTCGAGGCAACCACATCTCCAACATTTAGACTGTAAGTCAGGATACATAAGAGACATTTTTTGTGGATCAAGGTGCCATCTATAAAACATTTTATAAAAATTCTCCCTTAAGTTCTGGGCTTATGTAAATTTGACATTCCTCACCCAGATAGTTTCCCAGGTATCCAATAGAACTGGTTCACCAAAATTTTGTGCCCATTTAATCATACAGTCTTTGATTAATTCTGATTCTGAATCCAGTTCCACTAGAACCCCGTAAATTCTCTTAATGTGAGTTCGTCTTTGATCCTTTACTTGTTTAAAAAGATTTTCATCTTCTCTAAGCAAGCCCATATTACGATCCATCTTCCATCTATCCACTATTTGTCTATATTGAAACCATGAATAGGTAATATTTTCATGTAATAAATCTTCCGAAGATTTTAACTGCCAATTTTGGCCATCCCATCTGAGTAATTGTGCATAAGAGACCCTATCCATTTTAACTCCTCTCCTTATCCCCTCTATCGCATGCCAAGGTATAGCCCATAATAGTATTTTAAAATCACTTTTATAATATTTCCTCCAAACCCGAAGTAGAGAAATCCTTATAATATGAGATTTAAAAACCCGATCCACTTTTTTATTAAAAATTAAATAGGCATGCCATCCAAAAAGTAAATCCCAACCCTCCAGATGGAGTATTTCTACATTTGTTAAATTTACCCAATCACTAATTAATGTTAAAACCACAGCATCATAATATAGTTTCAAATTCGGTACCTTGAGTCCACCTCTCTCACGGAAGTCTTGCATAATTTTAAGCTTTACCCTTGGTTTTTTCCCTGCCCAAATAAATTTATTAATGCCTTTCTGCCATTCATTTAAATTAACCTCATTCTTTAAAATAGGTAACATTTGAAACAAAAAGAGAAATTTTGGTAGGACATTCATTTTAATCACTGCAATTCTTCCCATAAGAGATAACTGTAACTTCTCCCAATTCTTCAAGTCTTTCTGTACCCTGACCCACAGCCTTTCATAATTATTCTTTGCAGTACTGGTGGTGTAGCTTTAAGTTGTTGTACTGTTAGAATTGCAGGAGAAGAAACCACCTTAGAAACTATAGAAGCTAGTTGCCTCTTTGAAGCCATTTTTCAAAATCTTATTCTCTCTTTCTTTCTTCTTAGAAAAAAAGAAAAAGAAAATACTAAGATCCTTAAGGTTTAAAAGAAAAAACCAGGGAGAGTGCAAAAAAAGAACTTCAAAACCTCCAAAACGCTTTCAAAAGAAAAGAAAAGCTTGAAAGCAGTCCATACGTTTCATTTAAGTCCGTTCTTTCTTTCCGGAAAAAAAAAAAGCAAAGCACTTTCAAAGCGCCATCTTACTTTCACTCTCCACACCAGCAAAAAACAAAAGAAAAAGAAATTAACATGAACTAAAAGAGAAATAAAACACTACACTCCAAATAAAATCCTTTAGACAGCTCTGTCCGCTTTAAAAGTCACTCACCAGAACACTTTAAGCGCGGAGATGGTAGCGGCGTTTCACTTTGTTTCCGAAGAAACAAAAACAGCTGGGAGGCGGAGAAAGCACGAACTCCGAGGGAACACTCTTTCTACCCCCCCCCCAAAAAAATCCAGGGGGGGTTAAAAGGTTCTACCTCTATTCGTGTAGTCTCTACCCCTTCCCTTCGCCCGGGAAGGGGATTTCGAGCCGCGGGCCAGCTGATGTCCGCTGCACTCCGCAGATCTAACGCCGTCTCAGGAGGACGGCTACAAAGTAGCCGCCATCATCGTCGCTGACCACCGGAAGCTCTCTACCCAACTAATTTTCATAACACTTCCCCATCCAAGTCCTGCCAGAGGTCACCTACAAGTGTGATTGGTGTGGGTCAGTGCCATGCAGAAGCCTGAACCCACATTGAAAAAGATCTACATCAACCTTTCTAATGCCGTGACCCCATAATACAGTTCCCCATGTTGTGGTGACCCCCAAGTGGGTGTGGCCACCAATAAGAGGGAGTAGGACAGCTAGGGAAAAGGGAAAAAAAATGGCGGACAGCGTGGTTTGGCGACCCCCGTGAAATGGTCATTCGACCCCAAATTGGGTCCCGACCCACAGGTTGAGAACCACTAATCTAAATAATCCATTTCCTCCAGAACCTTTCAGAATTTTCTTGATTTTGCAAAATTGAAGTTTTATTTCTGCTGTTATTTCTAATTCTAGTTGAAACATCTAGTTGCAACATTTTTCATTCTGCCTGTGTGTGTGCGTGTGTGTGTGTGTATCTGTGTGCTTTTATTTCAGCTTTTTTCAGTACATGCTAATAGAAGGCAAAATATAAGTACTGTAGTAAATTCTAATCTCATTTGCTGCTTAAAAAACTGAAGCTACCAGAAGGTATATTGGGTACAATGGGGTCTAAATAAGAACTAGGAAAACAAGAAGGTAATGGTAGCTGCACACAGTAGGTGTTAATGGCCACAACAGAGTAATTAGTCGGTACCGTTTGTTCCTGACTTGAGAGGGAAACAGTGACTTCTGCCCAATTCATGAATTTATGCATGCCAATAGGAAGGGACGAGCTTCTGCCTTATTTTGCTTTGTGGTTCTAATTATATTTTTCATTAATAATCTTTTTTTTTTAATAGTGGAGTGGTAGAATACGATGCTGAGGGTTTCACAAAACTCACTTTGTTGCTGATGTGGAAAGATTTTTGCTTTCTTGTTCACAGTGAGTAGTTATTTTCCTTTGAGTATAAATATATAACTGCTTGAAAATTTAAACAAAAATTAACAGGGAAATACCAAATACAGCAGCACTTGCATCTCCTTTTTTTCCCTACTTGTGTGTTTTCTACATTCTTCATACCTGTGTAATGTCACCTGAAATTTCAAAAAGGTCATAAGGTTCATTAGATAATATGTTCTTTTTGAATTATGTAAGATATAAGATGTTTGAAATTCACAGACAGAAAAACTTATTGGAATATGCCTGGTGTGGATATGTCAAGAGACAGTTACTAAGGTATACTGGGAATATATAGGAGATAGTTAGATATAGATAAATGGATGTAGATATAAATATGCACAGTATATACTCTAGATTTAGATCTAGGTCTATGTTTATTCTGTGTGTGTGTGTGTACATATACTTCCTGATGTTTAGAAATTATCTCTGAGATGTTATATCTAAGAAATCCAACACCTTTTTCATTCAATACCATCTATTGGAACATAGAACATGAGCCTTCTGAGTTGCGACTCTGGAATATCCTCTCAGAGATCTGTATAGCTCATACCCTGAGGATGTTCAAAAAGTCATTGCAATTTTAGCTGCTCTTCGAAATCTTGAGTAACTTGGTGGTTGGGACACTGTACAATTTTTTATCATTATAGAGAGTTTGCCTTTTGGATGCTTCTGAATTTATTTAAAAAATTACTTGTTTTAATACACACACACACACACACACACACACACACACACACACACACCCCAACCAGAGTTATTAGTAATCTGAATTATATTGAATAAATAAATGTATGCAAACAACTATACTCTCCTATAACAATTGCTCTGTCTCTGCTCTACAAATTCTTTCTGCCTTCTCATATGTAAGGGTGTAGGTATATACATATGTTGTATATAGCATGTTTATATGTGTATGTATGTATACATTTTTGAAAGCAAGCAACCGAATTTCATTTTTAATGTGTGCCAGTGTGTGCCCACAGTAAAAAAATGACAAAAGTTATCATCTGTATCAGTGGTACCAATGACATCAAGAAGACCATCATTGGAAGATGGCCTCTCTTAACTGGCCTGCTCCTTTTGCATTGATTGTTTTCTCCCCTGGTTACTTATCAATGTGAGGCACTTGTTTATCCTAATTGTTTATTTTTTTAAAGTTGTTAGTTACTTTGAGTTCTCTGTCAATAGAATATTATATAAATCGCATTACAGTAGTAAATAACTGCTGTGGTAGTATAGTTTGAAATAATTTTGAATAGTTCCATTTCCTGTTCATAAGTGAATTCTTACAAAAGGGTCTCAATCCTTAGCAGATGTGTAAATTAAAGTACCTGCAATAGTGCAGCTAAATAGTCCTGAAATACAGTATCAGATAGCAAAGGATTCTGTGATAGTTGAGATTTCCTACTGAGACTTGAATCCTTGTATTCTTGGAGATCACCATATTGGTTGACAGTGTTTCATATGTTAATTGTTTCCAATGCCAGAATTGAGGCTTATTGAGAATACGCTTTTAGCAAAGTATGTCTTTCAAGATTATTTTGTAACCAGGATTACGGTTCTTCTTTATTATTCTCAAAATTCTTTTGCATAGTTTCTAATCCTAATTCCCTCTACACAAATTGTTCAAATATAACAATTTATTATTTGAATTTATGAGCAATAATAACTCTTATTCTAGCTCACACCTGGGTATTTTATGGCCTGTGGGTCAATCCAGCCTATTAGCTGTTCCTGTCTGGATTGTGGCAGGAGCGGCCCTCCACAACAGTCCCAGTTTCTCATGTGCCCCCTACAGAAATTAATTCCTGTCCCTGATCTAGCTCATCCACTTTTGGTCTTCTTTGCTTCAGAGAGCAGACGATTAGAAGATGTTCCTTACTATATATCATTTTCTGTTACTTTTTTTTTTAAAAAATCACTTCTTGTATTTGGAATATTAGCACCGAAAACTTCCAGTGTCCTCCTTTCTAATAAAAGTGAATTAGAAAGGAGAAAGGAAGCAGACTTGAGGCTTGTCAGCGCAGCTTGTAGTCAGCCAACATTTCAGTATACCAGGAAGAGATTAAATGTATCTCTTTGTATTTTCCAGATTTCTTAGCTAGGATTTTCTTTTACTTATATAGAAATGCAGAAAAATAATTTAAAATTTCTATACAGTAATTTACTTCTGCATAAGGAATTTTGAAATTTGAAACTTTCAAATAGTTTCTCATTCAGTTTGAAATTACTATGCTCCAGGAAAGTCAGCAAAGCGCCTGAAGGCAGGACAAGAAGCAACAGATGGAAACTAATCAAGGAGAGAAGCAACCTAGAACTAAGGAGAAACTTCCCGACAGTTAGAACAATTAACCAGTGGAACAACCTTCTCCAGAAGCGGTGAATGCTCCAACACTGGAAGTTTTTAAGAAGAGACTGGACAGCCATTTGTCTGAAATGGTATAGGGTTTCCTGCCTGAGCAGGGGGTTGGACTAGATGACCTCCAAGTTCCCTTCCAAATTTATTATTATAATAAGTATTTAATGGTCCACATTTTAAAATTCTAAAAAAAATTGGCTTTCTATTTAATTAGTTGTAAAGTTATTTATTGAGAGAAATTATTACAATGGAATTGCCACCACTGATTAACTTACTCAGAGCTGATGCATCACTAACTTGGTTGAATAACCCAAGGGAATCTGTATTGAGTTATGAAAAATTTTGCAAAGAAAACCACTGAAACATGTACTTCATTTTTTTAAATTTGAGTTGATCTTATCTTTCATTTCTAATATGCTTGTAATTCCAAACATTTAATCACACGTGGAGTGCAATCAGAAGAGAATATTAATTTTTGCTATTTTTCTTGTTAGAAAAAACACAAAAGCATAACATGAAAACACAAAAACAAAAGTTACATTATTCAGATATGTTGTCTTTTTTAGTTTTATGCAAAATCAATGTCTTCATCTGAACTACATCAGGTAATAGGATAATTATAAATAGTTAAATAATCTTTCTTTGAGAGAGTTGTGTTGTTCAGAAATGTAGAAAAAAGAAACAAGCAAAACAATGTGCTGAGGAATAAATCTTCTTTTAAAACTGTTCATATTTCTATGTTAGTTGCTTAATTTTTAATTTGTAGATGAAAAGATGTATTTTTGAAATTAATTATTACGAAGTGAGTAAAAAAATTAAGTCATAAAATCCAAAATATTGGGTTTTCATAGCTTCCTCTCTGCTTAAATACCAATCTGATGTAAAACACTCTGCTATAATTCTCAGCAGATTTTCAAAGGATGGAGGACAGTTGGAATTACCCCATGTGACCAGTTTCTGTTAATTGATAGTGGTCTCTGAATATCAGCTAGTCTCTTCGAAAGAATGTTCTTCTAGTGCATATGGCTTGAGCCAATCATACAAAAGAATTTGGCTGTTCTTCAGGTTCATTAGCATTCAATCCATATTTGTTAACAATTTGGTATAATTTCCTGCTTATGGAACCCTAAAAATTAAAGACATTGCAGTTCTCTCTGGTTAGCTTGAATGTTTTGTGTGATGGAGAAAAATAATTTTTGTCAATTATTGCTGACAGTTGTAGCATGGTTTTATGACAGGCTCTAATAATAAAAATATTCTTCAAAAAGAGTTTATTTATCAGGACACATTTCTTACCAGATTCTAGCTGCTAAACTGATTTAAATTTAGTTGTGGAATTAGCATAAGCCATAAATGTTTTTTATAATGAATGTGGTAATGGACATATATTTCATATAATATTATACTGTTTTATCCATTCTACAATTGAAGTGAATTGTGTGTCAATAATTTTCAAAGTAATGTTCTAGTTGAGGAAAAAAATGGTATTAATGTAATTGACTCAAGAATTTTTGATAAATTTCTGAATACTAAGGCAAAGTTTTAAAAGACTAGTATTTTTAAAGTTTGCCTAACATTCAATTTCATGGGAAAACATCAGTATAACTGCTGGCAAAAATACCTTGCCACACATTATAAGTTATTTTACATTGGTATAAAACATTTGGACTGAGTAAAAGAAATACAGATTTCACAAATTATGCTTGGTTCAAGTTGTATTTTTTATTATTTTATGAATATATTTATTATTTGATGAATATTTTGATTTCAGCAGAATCTGTAAGAGCTAGTGATCTGGTTCATATGCAGGGCAGTGATACAATATATGAGTATATGATTTTCAGTATAAAGCTGATTTTCACAAGCATTCCTCCCCAAATCTCAGCTTCTTTGAAGAGCCAAACCCATTTGTGTTGCTCTATAAATAAAGTAGTCATTTCAATCCATGCTTCTGGGAGCATTTTGGAGTGTTTTAGTCATCTACAGTATGATGTTCCAAGAAGTCTTTTTTTGCTCTATTTCAGTTTGGTTTGGTATGATTTTCTAAATGATCTTTCTTGCACATGCTGAATAGCATTTACAACCAATAGAAATTATCATCTATTAGAAATAGATACATACCTACCCAATAGGTTCATTACAAAAAAATTCACCTTGTTACAAATTTCTGCACAGAGAAAACTACATACTAAAATCTGCATGTAGTCACACAAACACACAAACTATCCACCTGTCTGTCTGTCGATATCTGTCTGTCTGTCTGTATATCTATCTATCTATCTATCTATCTATCTATCTATTTATCTATACAAACAAATAACTTCTGGAGTAAATTTAGAGTTACTTCTTTGTTAGCAGTTAGATTTCCACAGCTGTTTTGAACTGAAGGAACCCTAAAATATATTTTTTGTTCAATGGTAGCTTCCTCAGAGTGGTTTCTTCATATATTTGTAGCATTCCAACACCAGTATCCCATTTCTCACTTGTATTTTGTTGAAGTCTTTACAAATGCAAATTTCGTAAGTGATTCTGCTCATCCTTTAGAAATTTAGTACAGTTTTTTTAAGGGTTCGTCATGGCATAATTAGTCTCTGTAGTGAAACATATACGGATGCCAATATAA